TACATTATACGAAGTTATCTATGAGATTTTGTAGGTTGAAATAGTGTTTGGACGGGTAGTTTCCTAAATAGCTTTCGACTTTTCCAGGCTCTGAAGAAGGTGAAAGCACCGAAACGTCGGCCAAATAAAGCTATTGACAATCTTGGTCGGAAGCTCAGTACTGAACTATTGTATTCCAAAACGAAAGTGTTCAACAACGGCTCAATACGCCATCGATAAAGCTCTACTTTATGAGGTACTACAAAGAAAAATCACTAAAAATCACCAGAAAAGAAATAAAGAATTACTGGTAATATACGTACATTGTATTTAGTGAGGTCGTAGATGTTAGCCACTAATTGCTCTTCAACATGTGGCTCGCCTTTCGATTCATGATAGAAATCTCCTCGATAGATATAATTTTCACCTGAAACATGATAATTGACCATGAAAAGCACCCTTGCTTCATTTCACTACCCTAGCCACAATAACGATTGAAAATTGGGAAAAACCTCCAGGTATCGAACAGATTCTTCCCAACATAGCCTCCCTTTACCGTACGCAAATGGGCACTATCGCAAGATACGGGGCGTTACCTAGAACTAAGCCTAAAAGGGGCAGGGGCTTCGGGAAAATGAAAATTGCACGCGCTCTGGATTCCCTCCTCCCCGCTCAAGGCTTGGTCCCGTTTTCAACAAAAAGGAGATGTTCTACGGTGTTTAATGCACTGCCACCACAATGCCCCCGTATCTTGCGATAGCGCCTTCGAATGTCCTTTTTTCCACTATTTAATTTATCGTACCACCTGTCGGTAAGGTGATCGCGTGTCGCGTGTAGTGAACAAACAAACAAGGCTTCAGAACCTCAAACATAGTAGAAAAAGAAGTTACGAAGGCGCAGAGACAACAACCGTGCTAATGAGCGGGCTGCCTTAGTATTTAACCCATTCGTGACAATGGCAGCCACTGGTGGCCGCCAAAGATCTCAGTCGGGACGATGGTATCCAACGGCGGCCGCTGTGTTTCTAATGAAATTTGGAAAGTTTTCTTTCCTGAAAAGAGTCTTCATGCCCTCATACATCTAGGACAGCCCTGGGCGGGTAAATCCCATTCACTCAACTTTACTAAAACTAAATCTCGCTGACTCTCCTGCTATTGATGGGGTTAGGCAATTTTCGCGGCGTCCGACGGTTGAGTCAAAGTAAACGCTCATAGGAGTATCCCTAAATAAAGAAACAATCAATCCACTGCTTTCGTGTTTATGATCCAAAAAGCAATTCTGCACATGTTTCGGTACACTGAATTTCGCCGCTCCATTCGTGCAATCGCCACAGCACTTACAACTGAAAACATTCCACTTTCACTATTGGTTCTATTTTTCCTTGACCTAGAACGAGGTCATGTGACAACACACACTCGCTTATTTTTTCATTCAATTTTTCACCTGCATGCATTATTGCTTCAATTATATTAATAATTTAATATTTGTTTCTTTACTTACTCGTTTGTCTACTCATTTATCAAGTATTTATTTATTTATTTATTTATTTATCGTATAACTTCGTACCAAACCCTTAGTTGCTCCTGACAGCACTGGACAGCGAACACAGAAACCGCTGTCGGTACTATAATATCACCCGTTGCTCGTACCGGAATAAATAAGGGTTCTTTGGTTCTAATTATTGCTACAAAAGGACTTTCCCACGACATACGAAACAGTGAGTAAGAAAGCTGAACCTGACATGATCAAACATCGCGTAAACCTGCAATCAATTTTTTTGTAAGAACCAAGGAATGCTTGATTGAAAAAGGACCGCCTCGTTTCGCCCATAACTTAGTGTCACAACTTTATCACTAGCAATGTGATCTTGGTTTTAGATCTTATTAATGAGCGCATCCCCGATGCACCAAATAAAATTAAATAAGTACCCAAAATAATTGGCCTTGTTTATTTTCTACGTTTATCTGTGACGCTGTATAAGGCAACTCAAAAAGCAGCCACGAAAATTGTCCAACAGAATTCTAGCTTTAAAAGAATGTCCTTATCGATGAGAGAGTGAAAGGAACAAGATGTGCGAGAGGGGAGACGAAGCGGCAAACTCCCAATTTTCTGATGCGATAATCAATAATTTTGGGGAAGAGATAGCCGTTTCTCAGCTGTGCGTGAAGTACGGTAGTGATGTGACGTACTACACACTTATGTGGGTCACCACCAAAGCGCCTGAAATGCCTTTATCCTGATTCAGGAATTTCTGTGACCAGTTGTGCAACGATTTATGAGCGCTACCACGCGAAATGTAGCCATAAACCTAGCGTAACTCTAAACAAACATTCTCACTTATAAAATTAACTGCGGGAACTGCTAAGAAAATAGAACACTTTATCGGAAACCAGACTTTTAATTACGACATTTCAATAAGTAGTTATAGTGCATCAAAGTAACTATACAGACATGAAAACTCCACGACTACGTCCTTCCATTCCCCATAACTTCCTCAACTACCTCATTTCTGCACTTCGAAATAGACCAGACTATCACTCTTCTCGTAGTTTCCTCTTTTCTTTCACGAAAAACTAATCATGGGATCCGGAGGGTTTTTCCCCGGGGGCTTTGTGAGAGAATGCTAATCTAAATGCGTACGGAGGCGTTTCAACGCTCCCAAAACTAGTTCGCTGGCGTCAAGTAATGCAATTTGGATCCGCAGACGTTTACGGGAAAAATGAAGCTGCAAACAAAAAACCTTCTACCACTAGCCTTGCTGCCACTTCGTAAGAATTCAATTTACCTAGTCGGAAGGACTGTGAAGGCCAGGACCTTTCAACGCCTTCCTCCCCACTCATTGTCCTTTTGGCTTGTGTATTATTGAACAGAATTTGAATGTCAGCGGGAAGGAGATTATTTTAACACATATATTGAACAACGATTCCTAGTATTGCAAATTTTGTGTTTAAAAGGATAAGCATAAAGCATTTGCAGTTGATCAATCCCGTTTTGGGATGCGGCACGCATTCTACTTCCATTTGTACATTCGTAGTGGCGTTTGAATGCGATGTGGCCTATACAATGACTTGCGGGGGCCAGCCGATGTACAAGTCAGTGTTTTTATCCTCCCAGACAAGTCTGGTACCAATTAACCGACCCCGGAGATGAACGCCCTATCAGTTCCTCGAATCTAAACTGCTCCATCCGCCCTAACCGCCACCATGCATCGAGTGGGGCCACGGTAGTGTTTACCGGAGGGGCCATACTAAACGCGCTGGTCCTTGCGGACAAATCTGGATTGATCTTTGCTCACCAGACTCAATCATTCATCACTACGAAAATGATCAGTGTGTGCCATCTAAGTCTGATAGCTAAGTGGCGAGCTACTGATTGATGAGTAAAGTACAACTCTTACACCCACTGACTCCTGACAGCCAATTGCATAGACCACACTGCATTCAAATGTCGCGACGATTCTAAAGAGAAGTAGAATAAGTGGCGCATCCAAGAAATAAAGGATCATTGTCAAAAGTTTTGTCCCTTATCGCTATATATTTTCATTTTTCTTCTCTAGATCCCAGGACAATGGTGCATGACCAAGTGTCCGCGCAGTGATATGCACGTAACGTCTATTTGTGGGTTTCAAGTTATGTCCTCGTCACTGTCCGTGATGTCCCAAGTCACTTTTGAAACTAAATATTTGTAGCTCGACAGCGATCCCAAGGCAGGTTGTTTGGCGAGACCTTTGACCGCCCAAACCGGCATTTGTCAGGTGCGCCTCGAGCCACAGGCCCCAAACGTCTATTGGTTCAAAGGGCGATTATCAAAACATCAAAGGAAAAACACAACTCAGTAGAACGCTCTTTCGCAATCCATTTCATGTACTAACGAAAGAGAAAATGTTGAAATACGTAAGTAATAAAAAAACAAAAAAGTGAAAAATCTTGCCCACCTTATGGAGCAGAACTCGTAGACAGTCCGGCAAGGACATTCCTTCTTCACGCACTGTTTCTTGCTTTTCGCACACTGACAGCCTTGCTCTGGTTTCGTCACTTTGGCGACTTTCTTTGGTTGCTCCTGGAAATCAAAGGAGATTAATGGATTCAGCGGAACGCCGTATAAAAAGCCACCACGGCTGCCCTCTCTGCAAGCCAATAAATGCATAGTTTGCAACAATGACCTTGCAGCCCAAGGGAAGAAATGTGAAAGATTGCTGGCAATGGCAGCCCCTGAACAAAACTAATGGATAGTTTGGCAGTAGGAGAGAAAGACGCGAATAATAACGATGTGATGGAAAAAACGATGAAAAGGGGAAGGCATCTAACAAGAAGAAGTGATGGATGAGACAAAGCACGTATTATCGATGAAGAGCATCTGTGTGAAGATGATGGATGGAAAACCTACGAAAAAAGAGATAAATGATAAGCATTAAGCGCTCTCGGTGGACCAATCGCACCAGGATACGCCGCATCCTTGACTTCTTCTGAAATCGTAGAGCTAATTGGAAGCGCACTTTGGTCCTATACGATGACTTCGCTTGAGATGGTGGCCATCGATTCAGCTAATTACACATTTTCCACAATGCCAGGGCGTACCTAGACAGGAAGCGATTTCGTGATAGGGCTAAATTTTGCCTCTAACTGCTGTTGATAAACGTCTGCTCATTATTACTGTAACGAGAGCAAAGACTTCGTTGTACACTCAACGCCAAAAATTATTGCGGCCATGCTTCTCACTTCGAGTCAGAAATGGATTAAATCAGATACATATGAAGAATTTTGAAGAACTGAGATTGATGGTCCTCGTAACACCTTTTGTTCTCAGAATCGGCAAAATCATAGATCCTCATAAATACAATATGATCCCATGATGTAACGAAATGAATGAAAAAAGGAAGTAAAATGAAAATGCCGGGAAAAGGGGAAATAAAGCAGTAAACCAAATAAACTAACTATTGGATTTATTACCAGGCTTCTTCCTCGTATAGGAGAAAAGTTAACGAGCTCTCCACAGGAAGAGAAAAGGAGGAAAATTCCAAAAGAAAATGAGTAGGAAATGAATTTGAAAGTGAGAGAACGAGACCAGCAAAGAGAACCTCAATTGCTTTAATGAAGTCTATCATCCATCATTATCATCATCTATCATTAATTATCATCAAAATCAGATTCAATGACCTTGATCACCTTGAATCTCCAAAGAAACATCTTCACATTCACAAAGTGTGTCATAGATCTGTAGTACTGTATACGCCGAGGATTTAGAAAAGGAAAAAGTGTCAGCTATTCAAAAAGCTATTCATTTTTAAACCACTTCTCAGAATAATATTTTCAAATCATATTTCAGCAGAGTTTAGAATACTTGCTGTGGATTCTTTCAGCAGTGAACCGAACACATTTAATTTCACGACATTGACGAGCTGCTACTGTAGAATTGTTGACTTGCCTTGTTTTTGCAAATCTGCTTGCAAGCGCAGAGTTTGCTGCATCCCTCTTTGATTCGTAGGCAATCACAGCGCTCGGCTTTGGCACAGGCGTTCTTTGCCGGTTTGGCAGGATCGACTTCACATGAGCACTTGCAAATTGCCTGATTCAGGCAGTCACCTCGATACCTGAAATCGATAATGCACCCGTTCGGTCCACAAAGACCCGTTATGGACCCGCTTTTGTTCTCTTCTCGCTCAGCCATCTGCCACCCACTAATGAAGGATCTTCGCGCCCCTCTTGACAATGTCCCAAAACGGCCGTGCCCAGCCGTTCCCAAATGTTCCGGGACAAACGATCTTGGATGTGAAGGTTGTATTAGGTGGTTGGTCGGATGCTGACATGTCTCATACTCGATGAATGATGCCACCCACAGCTCTTTGGATGCGGGATAAGTCGGCGGGTATTGGAAAGCCACGAATAATACCCTGGGGACCACTAACCCCGTGCCAATTCGACAGTCGTAGTCATATCGCTTTGCCGCTGCATTTGATGCCATAAATCAACAACGAGTGAACTTGAACCTTCTATAGACTACTTAACGCTTCTCTGGACGGGTTCTGTGCTGAAGTGTCGGGGAGGGTAAGGCTTCTACTATGGGTAACAGAGCACACTGCGTTGGTATAGGTTCAGGATCATTACTACGACTTCCTGACTTGTCCAACATCCTAAATAAAATTTTGGAAAAAGTACATAAATAATATTGAGATCCAAGGAACAATCTTTGGTTTTGCAAGCTGAATGGTTCAATTACATACAAAAATGATTTTATTGTCAAATACAGAATTTTTTCAGTTTGTTGATTAGGAAAGAAACTTCTTGACCGTCGAATTTAGCCAGTAAGGGTTCCCTATGCCCCCCCCCCTTTTGACTGGCCTGTTCCGAAATGATCTCACAAAAGTCAATCTTCATCCTCCCCTTTGTGCCCCTGCAGGTCTTCAATAGTCTTCTCATCTGTCTCCGCCCACAATAGTAGTGTCTACTTCCTAGGCCTTACAATATGTGCACATACATATCTCTTTTAGTACCTATGCACTTACCAGAATTACCCCTTTTGCTTTTGTAAGACCTTTTCGGTAGGATCTCCCCGTTGGGCTCAGTTTCTTTTCTACAGCAAACAGTATATTTGGCGCCTTTAATGTAAAAATGACACTGGCTTGGCTCCGAAAAGCGTGCAACGGCGTCCAATTTGAATGAATTGAATGCAGGCATGTGAAAATCTGGTCCCCCCCCCCTCCTTCTTTAAACTGCTAGGATATGGTCTCTCCTTGTCTTTATAAGACCGTGTCGACTGGCACTATTAGAGCTGTTCATGTCCAGAATTTTTTTTAAGCTTTTTTTTTTTCGCACCAGATTCTCTCACAGAAATGGCTAAGAACTGCAGGATCTGGACCGTACGTTGTTTTCCATCCACAGCAGCTCCTCGAACGTCGAGGATTGTTCAATAATACTTTTCAATGTTTTTGAGTTACAGCAACCATTAATAAATAAATGGGGAGATAGAATTTCGAGATAAATTGGGATAGATAAACTATTGCGAGAAGGAACAAGCGATGGGGGCTACCCGCAAGATACGGGGGCATTGTTGCGCGCAAATGCAATCAAAACGTAAAATATTTCCTTTCGTTCAAACGTGGCCAACCATTAGCTTTAGAGGGGGAGGAAAATTTCAGATTTCGTGAGCAATTTTCATTTTTCCCGGAATTCCTGCCTTTTCCCAGGCCTGCCCCAGATAATGCCCACGTATCTAGCCAAAGCGGCCAAATAATCCATTCGTGTCTCCTTGTCTTCTCCATAAGAAAAGATCGGATGACAAAATATTAAAGGAGCCAAAACGAAGAGCTTTCAGTGATTGTGGTTAGCTTTCAAAGAAGAAATCGTAAGTTTACCCCGAATCAAAATTAATAAAACACAAAGCTTTTGCTTATCCTGGCTCTGTTTTCACCAGAGAGCAGAAAGTTTCTTGGATATTTTTAGGTAGCCAAATTTGAATAAACTCTAGGGAAAAGGAACAGCTATCAGCTCCCTTGTGTCGTAGGGGAGAAATTTGAGAAGCGCTTCACTTTTTTCTCTAGCGTCGTTTCAGGTTCCATACATCCAAAGTGCATCGCGCTTCCTAGTAGGAACGACTTATACTGAAAGCCTTCTGATGTCCGCAAGATTAGCCGTCGTCGTCGCTCAGGAGAAGATTTCGCAGTGAAGGCCGCTTTGCCCTGACGAAAGCCGCGCATTACTGAGATTGAATGGGAATCAATACGTGGGAAAAGCAACACACACACAGGGGGACACTCCCACAGCTCTGAGCTCGTTGAGCGCCATCCATCCGGTCAGGTAAGGGATAGGGATCTGCGGGACCACCACGACCTACCACGGCGGCGGGACTGGCGAAAAATGAGTCGTCAAGGAAGTAAAGTCCGACTCACCTGGTGCTTTCGCAATGCTCATCGCAGGTTTTCCGTGCCGCCACACACGGGCAGTTATCGGCACTGCAACGGCTCTGGGTGGCAGCACATTCACAGCAGAAGCTGTTCACCCGACTCATTTCGCTCGCCATTTTCCGCTGAATGACCTGCTCCAGAATGCCTCAGCGACGACGTCGACCACCACCAGCTAGTCGGAATATTTAAGAAGATGTAACGAAACGGCTAGCGAAAATCGATGTTGGCACGTCGCCAGGTGCTGGAGATGACTTGCACGACGCCTGATGACCTTGCGTAGTGAATAGCACCGGCTTCTGGGATAAGCACGACAGAAAAAGGAGTAACTAGGTGCTTGACGAGGTGACGCGGCGATGGCAGTTGGGGGCGGAGATGGAATGGAGTTGAAGCCGTCAGCGGCGTGCGCCGACGGGGGCTTTCGATCGGCGAGGGGCGTGCCGTGGCGCTAGGCCAGATGACCAGCGGTCAATTGTGGGCCCCGTTCAGCTAATTGGCACGTCGCCATCACAGCATTACCCGCACCACAACCCGGTGTTCACGGGGGGCTATGCGTGCGGCTAGAATGACTCATTAATAGAATTCCGAATGTTCCTTGTGAATGGCTGGGAACTGCAATAGCGTAGGTTGTAATGAGATGGGCGGAAGTTAGTTCAAAGGTTTCGATGTAGCAGAAAATATTGAAATTTTGGCAAAAAAAATCCCTTGAAATTTCACTTATTCACAAAAAATTTGTTCAATTAATTTTGGATTAATTTCGCAATAATTAGCTCAATAACAACTCGCTATATTGATAGTGACATATTACCTTAATTAGAGCGGAAGTGATGTAGTGGTAAGTGAAGCTGCCTACCACGCGAGCGGTCCGGGGATCAAATCCTGGGTCGTGAGTCGCCCGGGCCAACCAAGCCTTCCATCCCTCCGGGGTCGGTTAATTGGTACCAGACTTGTCTGGGAGGATAAAAACACTGACTTGAACATCGGCTGGCCCCCGCAAGTCATTGTGTAATGTAAAGTCCTTCAGAAAGGGTCAGTCATTAACCTAACCCATCTGTAGCCCTAGGGTCAATCCACATTACCGATTTTATGTCCTTGCTTATTGATAATTTGTCCGGAATTTCATATGAGCAATGTTAACGAATTGAAACGATAAAACATTTGCGTTCAGCAAGTCCTATCTTCTTTCTTTAATTGCCTATTCGAATCATCCTTCAAAAATTGTCCTCTACGATTCCGAATGGAAGTGGAATGCGTGGCGCATCCCAAAATAGGTGTTGAACGCCAAATGTTCTATCGTTTTATTCTTAATATTGCTCATATGAAAATCCGACAATATCAAAAGCAAAGCAAAAATGGTAGATGTGGATTAACCCTAGGGTTACTGAGGGGTTGGTTAGTGAACTGGCCGCTTTTCTACTTTCTAGAACGATCTTCACTGTTTGAATAGAGGTCCGTGTATGTAAATGGATAAATAAAGGATAAAGCATTTGCCGTTGATCAATCCCTTTTTGGGATGCGGCACGCATTCTACTTCCATTTGTACATTCGCAGTGGCATTTGAATGCGATGTGGCCTATACAATGACTTGCGGGGCCAGCCGATGTTCAAGTCAGTGTTTTTATCCTCCCAGACAAGTCTGGTACCAATTAACCGACCCCGGAGGGATGGAAGGCTTGGTTGGCCCGGGCGACTCACGACCCAGGATTTGATCCCGGACCGCTCGCGTGGTGAGCGCGCCACTTGTCACTGCACCACTTCCGCCCTTGTGAAGGTAAATGAATCTTAAAAGCGAATGGTATAATACATTCAGCTAACTTGACGAATATGAATCATGAAAATATAAAGGCTCGAAGGGTCTTACTAAAGTGGATCAAATTTGGAAGGCACATTATACACAGGGCCTATATTTCATTTGTTTGTATGAACGAAAAATAGATATTCAGAACATCGCTGGATAAATATCTTCTTGGATACGCCACGTATTCCACTTCCATTCAGAATCGTGACAGAGTTGAAGGTAAACGTGATTTGGTCTATATAATGATTATGGGGCCAGCCTCTTTACGCTTCAATTGTCCTATTGTTCCAGATAAACTTCAGCTAAGCTCCGGCTTACATGGCGTCCTGTTTGTTCGAGATTCGATTCCCCGGACCGTGTGCCTGGTAAGCGGGTCCACTTGCCATGACACTATTTGTAACCTTATTCATTAAATTATTTATTTATAATATATGACGAGTTCTGCCACGAACTACTGAACTAGGTGAACAACTTAAAACTGCTATTTTGAAAAAAAATATGATTAGAATCAAGCTAGGCAGGAAGAAGTCCTTGCATCGTGGAGTGTCAAGCAGCACAATAGCACGAGCTCATGAAAAATTATCACACTTAATTGGATAACCGAAAGGTGACTAATTGTGTCAAGCTTCTGAAAACACGGAATACCCCCGACAGCGTATTTACTGAGTCGTTTAATCCAATACAATCAAATGGCGCTAATCCTGCCCGGTGATGACCATAATTAGCTTACAACGTCATTGAAGAGGTTTTTCGAGCCATCGGTTCCGGCGTCTGCGATTCTTGGTCATCTTGAGACTCGCTCCATCCGGCAACAAGCAGCCATTTCGGGATGCGCCATGCACTAATGTCCTTTGTTCAAAAATGCAAGTGAGTCTGTTAGGTTACGAGATTTCTCAAGCCACATCGATAAATCAAATAAAGGAGTTCAGTACCGAACGAATAGCATTTCAAGAAAAGTTGCTGGCTAAAGCGTGACTCCTCCTTTTGAATGAAAGGGAGCAATCCTCCGAAAAGCCTTTGAAAGTCAACCAGCTACCTGAATCTCCTCTACGCCAGTCAGGCGTAACAGTCTCCAAGCCCCAATAGGAAGTTGCAGACATCATTGTCAATCGCGTGGTCTAATTAGTTTTTTATGCAAGTGCACTGCTTAGAAAAATCTGTGCGTAACATGCATTAAAAATTACTAATAGACCTACGAAAAAATCATGACAAGGCTACAAAGGCCACAAGAAGGGAGTTTAAGGCAGAGTTCACAGAGATGAAAGGCAGCTTACTAGCATCAAGGTAGAGGGGTGGGGGATAAAAAAATCTATGAGAAACGGCCCAGAAACAGAGAAATTGGACTCCTACCCTGCAGTTGATTTGCACATTGATGCAATCCTATTCGACGCTACCCTCTTCAACCTTGACGCTCCTCTCTAACTAACTCGCCTGTAAACACCGCCCTGTGCAAAAGTGCAGCCAAGCCAGTGGCGTGTCCCGTGAATAGCCCCCACGAGGACGGCCAATGCTATGCCGTTTGGCCCGTGCATATCTTCGCTCGAACTTGCTTTTCTCGTCCCACACGATGTTGGCTTCCCCCTACATTTAGCAGACTTTCTATACTTGACCTTTGACCTTTCCGTGTATCTCCTCTGACACCAAACGTTCGCATGGCATTTTTTATGCCGTCGACGGGCTCCAAATCCGTGCTGGGGAAAACTGGGATTTTTTACGCGGACCATTGCTGTTTTTGTAGCCAAGATGTCATTCTCCCTTCACTATCTGCAATTCTCATCTGCCATCTGTGGCACTTATGACGGCAATGCACACCCACACAAAATAAAAAGAAATGAAGCCCTAGCAAGAAAGAACGTTCATGAATGCTGTCGCTTGCACCTACATGTGAGAGCTTTGCCCTAAAAAATAAGATTCAGCTGTAAAAATAAACGATTCATCAAAGCGGACAGCATTAATCTGAAATAAGTCATCCACTTGGAATCAGGCAAATTCTGCAAATCACGGAGGCCTGATGGCTTTTTACGATATTACCCAGTTGGTCGCTTGTCGCTTTGAGACCAAGCTCGCCTCTTGACCCGATAACACTCCAACGCTCAGAAAGATTGTAAAGCGGGACCGGTTCGAAGCGGTTTCTATGGACAGGGATCGCGCCTCAAACTTCTACTGTGGAGCCTCCTCCAAAAAAGACTGATTGAAAATTAATTTGCCCCATCGCATTAAGAATTGATGGGAGATTGAACGGAGGACGCCAACGACGTGGAATAGCGCCTCCGTTCCGGTTGTTGACATTTTTGTACGATGACGAAAACCACTGAACGAAAAACTTATTCAACTAACAACGCGTTCAATCTCTGCAGCCGACCTGTAAGTATACTTTGACTGGAAAATTAAAGCTTTTACTCCCCTCATAATTTTGGGAACTGCCACTCCTATTTGACCCCGAGATTCCGTTTTCCGGTTCATCCATGTATGGCGGATTTTGATCAGCTGCATAAAAAACCTCTCTGGCCATCTTCCTCAACTTTGGAATGTCCTTTTCAGTGTTTAGAACGAGGTAGGGATAGCTGAGCGGCTATGAGTGCAGCTCATGCTTGGACCCTTCAATGCTGGAATTGCCGTCTCCGCCAACGCTTGACCACGACCTGCGGAACTTGCAAAAATAGTCCTTGTACCACCATCAGGCCCAGGTTGACAAAGCGGCCGATAAGGACCCGCGTCACAACAAATATTGTTAAAACGACTGGACCGTGCGTCTCAGGCTAGTGAGAACCGAATAAGCCTTGCTTCGGAGAGAGACGGAGTACCTGACCCGGATTCCGCTTGACTTCGTTCCGAAGCCGAACTAACAAAGTACCAATTTAGCTTCATAACGGACCTACTGAAAACTGCAAAGCGATACAACTAGAAACAGCTATCCCTAACCTCGTTCTAGCAGAAAACTGAAATTGCCTAACCTAGCCACTGTAACTTACCAGCAAGGCTTATTTCCGGGTACTCAAATTGTATTCCAAGCTCATTTGTTATCCTGTTCCAAAAATCAACTACCAAAGGGAAAAAAACAAAAGCCAATGACATCGTTTGAGAAAAAAATATATCACATATTTATCTCATTTGCTATTCATCATTGGTGCACGCAAATGGTTGAAATATAATGTGCATATAATCGTAGAATCGTGAATAACATTCAAGACTTGAAAGTTTTCTTGAGGGTTTTCGTGAGTATAGAGTGGCTCTCCAAGTTCCAATTGCGCTGAATTGCGACGTGTTAGTGCACTGCCATCAGTTAATTCTGAGCCTCTTCTATCTCGAAATGATTCTCCCTGCAGAGCGATCATTTTCTGATTCGTTTGCGAATAGCGAAACGATCTTGTTTCCAAGTTTGTATAGATTCCAAACCGCACTGGTAAAACTGTTGCAACAGAGCGCTCCTTCACCACGCTTATACCGATGCAAAGGCAGTGGCGATGGTTGGGAAGCGGAGCGGTTTTCGATGACGTCATCGGCTGTCATCAGTAGAAGGGCGCTGAGGCGCTCGCTGTCGAAGCTCGCTCTTCTGCCCAACAGCTTGACCTGGGCGTTTGGAATTTACTACAAAGTTGGAAACTAGAGGGAACTTTTTTGTAGTCTCATTTGAGGCTGTAATCAAACAACACGTGATCAAATCGCAACAAAAGTACCCTGAGACGGTTATTTGCTCATTGAAACTCATTTAAAGGAATCTTCCACGGACCATGGACCAGTGGGCGGGACCGGAAGTGGTTTTGCGACGAAATGCATGGTAGGTACGGATCCACGTTCATGGGAAGGTTTGAAGTGAATCCTGTTCACGTTCGTGCGTTCGACGTAAAACCACTTTCCGGTCCCGCCCACTGGACCGTGGAAGATTCCTTTAAACACTTCACCGCTCCGGAGGGAAGTCAAATAGGCGGGAGCGCTACATGACCTTGAATAATACTTCTATTTTTCCATATAAAAATGCTCTTGTTGGCTCCCATTCAGTGACCCCCTCCCCCCTCCTCCTCGGGAAATGCTCTCTCAATAACTGCGTCATTTTTTAATCTTTAGCGTTTTAGACTGCAACATCGCGTGCCGCCTTCAGAGCCAATGGGTCGTCAGTGCCTCACTGGTTTATCCGTTCATTCGCAACCAGTCATGAACAACGATGAGCAGATTTGAATTAGTAATAAAATAAGAGGTCAACTCTTATTAAGTTGTTCTTTTTTATCTTCATCAATCCGGCCCACAAAAAGACCCCTACAAAATACTCCTGATTCCTCTGCGTACGTTCCCTGAGATGGTGTACTGGCAAGTAACGCCTTACCATGGCATGGTAGGTCTGCACTAAACCCCCTTTGATCAACTAACCCCCTCACTCTTCTGTGATCGGCGAAATGGTACCAGACTAGTTTGAGGTTCACTAATTCTGATCTGTTTATCGGCTCAGCATTGCAGGTCACTTATAGACCAACTCACATTAAAAAGTGATTGCTATTCTGAACAGAGTTCCAATGCATGGCGTATCTCAAGAAGGGATCAGTCGATGCAACTTCCTTTTTCCTTCGTTTCTCGTTCAGTAACTTCGTGAACCTCTTCGACTTCACGCTATTGGCTTTGTTAGTGAGTATAAGTCAAAGTTTCATGCCAATATTTCCTACAGGGTGAGCGAACGACACCTAATAGAGTTCCGTCTGGAGTGAAAGTTTTGTTCACAACCCAGCATTTTTGAGAAACACCTAATAGATTTTCAGATGACGACACACCAAGAAACAACTGGAAATCTTTCCGGTCTACAGCCGTGAAATCTCTTTGGCAGAAATTGAAACTCGCCATAATTTATTAAATGTTGCGAGAGTCTCACCCAGCAGAGTGGGGTCGTTGCGGTTCGAAGCGGTTCGAAGGGCTAAATGCGTTCAAAACCACGAAGAGCGTACTCTTTTATTGCAAAATTTAGGACTAATGGTAAGCGTCAGAAGAGGGGGAGACCCCGGGCCCGTAAACAATCTTCGTTTTCCCCGGGGGAATTCATCTCCCTTCCTAGGCTTAGTCCTAGCTGCTGCCTAGTTGAATATTCCCTTTATAGGTTTATTTGATCCAGCACAAGACTAGACACATTATACAACAAAAAAACTAGACAAATAGTAGAAAAAAGGTGGTAGCACTTCGTAACTTTGAAGGGCCCCTCGAGCCTCTGTAATGCCCCTCTTACGGGTGAACCCTTTCTTTCCGATTATTCCATCGAAGCGACTTTTTTTTCTGTCCATGGTACTTGTGAACGAACCTAAGAGATCGGTTTTGATTTGAGTAGTGTCGTTACTTTGCGTGATTTTTACTAAACATTACCTTCAAAGATTGTAGATGCGAAGTAATGGTAGAATGCCGTGGCGCACCCTTGAGCAATGGATAAATCATCGAGTATTCTAATCAAACTGCCTATCTTTTCCCTCCATCTTCTTCATATGTTTGTCAGGCTTTTCGTGGCAATGTTTATAAAGCAATTCGGCACAACCAACAATGATATGTACAAAACGAATGAATTATGAATTTGATTTCATTAAGAATTTGAGGATTCCCATGAGTTCTCTCCTTTATGCATTTGGCTGGGCAGCTAGATAGAGAAGGGCTTCGTTGACGGAGCGACGCAGAGCCAACACGGGAATGGAAAGCTCGCAGAATGTCGTCCTTCTTGATTATATCAAGAATAGTGTCTGGAATAAAGTGATCTCGATCCGCACGTTCATATTTCAAAGCCTAGTTCGGCCGATTCGAAACTGCGCGAGCGGAGAGAAGTGAGTGAAAGCGGGGCTAGTGACAAGAGAGGGAAAAGAAGCTGCAGAAACGCTAAAAAGGCGGACCTTCCAAGCTACTTCTGATGAAAATACATTGTGCGCTGAGGGAAGAGAACAGGTTATGGAGCATACAGTACGAGAGGACGTAGACACGCCACCGCAAAAACTTTGCCTCACAGTAACAGTGCAAGCGAGCAGCGGCGCAAGAGACAATGCCCTAGCGCCCTTGTCACAAAATTAAGCTGGCTAAACGATGCATATTTTAGATTTGTGGATAACAGTATTCTACTAATAGACCGGAAGAATCAATTATAATAACATTAGTTTCCATCGTGGGATGTGCCTTTAAGTCTACTGCTGCAGATACGGCCCTTGCAAATCCTTCGTATTACCGAAAAACTTATTTTTAATCATCCTCAAATCAAGTTCAGCAGTCGTCCCGCAAAATGTCCCTGGCCCTAATTTCGAAAGCAATCAACTGGCACCCATTCGATTATCCATACGAGCTATAATAATTATCTTCGCGCTTGTCCAACCAATGGAATAATTAATCGATGATTCTTTTTGTAGTCCCTAACCACGTCATCTCCAACTACGTAGCCATTTCTGCGGTATTGCGATGTAACGCAGCACGCAGCCTCACCTAGAATCTCGCCCAAATCTACATTGCCGGTGACATACACAGCCCATCCTACAGCACGATTCTCTGCACTTTTGTTCAAATTCTTTCAACACTCTCATCTAACCGTTCTTTCCAGCCGAGGGATCATCCCCCAGTCTTCATGCGTGACTTATTGAACATCTCCTGCAAACAAGAGATTCTTTTCTCAATCCAAAACTACAAACGAAAACTTTAATGGACATCCTGGTCATTGTAGCATTTTATTTGATTTCTTCGCCGCATTTGCGGGTTCTTCTACCCTCCAAGTACACTCTATCATCCAATTTGCGTCCCCCCCCCCTGCACTCTTCAATGACTTCTGCAGCGCTCCTCCATTTATTCAATTTTCCCTGCAACTTACTTACGAATTTATGTTTAGTGCGCTGCAAACCTATATATGTACAGTGTTATCGATCACTTGGAAGACGCTAAACAGCCCTAGAGACACTTTTGAGCAGAAAGAGCACTTACATACTAGTAGGGCAACCGCCCGTTGAGAAATTGAAAAGAGAGCCTTTTTTTCAAATTTAATTCAAATTCTTTCAAATTCAGAATGGGAAGTCGCTTTTGAGTGGCTGAGGGGGTAATTGTTCTGTTGTGCTGAAAGTGGAAGTGCTCGTGTTTGTAGGATTTTTACATCGAGAGCCGCTAAAATGGTTAGAAATTTTTAGTATTTGCTAAATAATTGAGAAACAATGATTTGTACCCCATGACGGCAAGTTAAATTGAATTAGGGAGCAGGAATCAGGATCAACCGTCGTATTCGCACTTCAAAAAATTCCACCCCCCCCCCCCTCCAAACCTAAGAGGGTCTAAAGATTCCATCTTAAACCTCGTTGTGGCGTACAGTACAAAAACAATTGCAGTACACTCAACATCAAATGCCGAGGTTTCAACAAAGGACGACATGGAGACTACTCCCAACACCGTCATCAACCCTGAAGGTGGGAGAGGGGGTTCCAACACAACTTCCTCCTCCCACCCCCGACCTTCAATCACCCTCACCATCATGGCTGTTTTTACTGCACTTGATTTTGAGACTAGCGCCGCGCTCCAACGCCTCCAGCTTTTTTTTCCAAAACGACTATAGAGCGGTTGGGTAAGGGTATAGCTTCGAAAAAGATACGGAAAACTTCAAATTCCGCCCGTTTAACGCCCCTTCCGTGAAGCTTTCGCATGATCTAAAAAAACGACGCTCCTTTGACCGCACTACTAACTTCCACAAATACGACCCCCTGTCATCGACGCAACCTTGGTCACTCCAATGCGAACGCTTCCAGCGAAAATGCACGGACTAATAGCTCCTCTGCCTCCTCCGCCCCCCCCCTTTCTGAATTAGTCAAAAAAGAACGGCTGACGCTGGCTGGAGTGTGTCAAGTGGTGGTACATTTGACAACACCATGGAACCGTCGACTTCCAGCGAGTGGTCGTACCGATTCCAAAATTTCTCTAACGTGACGATTTACCCTGTCCACCATGACCGTACTGGAATCCCTTGCGGCTCGAATTATTCGTGGTTAATAAAAATTATTAAGCTTAACTTCGACATACAAATATTGACTTCTTGATTCATAATACTGTTCGCTCCCCTCAATTTTTACCTTCATATTTTCAATGATATTTTGGAGTATGAAACAGGTGCTGCACACTTAGATCACCATGAGCTTCTTCTGAAGCACCATAGTCAAGATAGAAATACTTATTTTGTCAAGAGATCCCACCATTCAATCCACAAAACTGCAAGGCCACATCGCTCTTCTTTGCGTCGTTGTATACCTGTAATCATGAAGAATTAAAGTTATCCTTATTCCCACGTTTCAATACAGTACCTCTCTAAGTGCGTCCAGACCCATACTGTCCACGTATGCCATTGCCGTGCAATCCACAACGATCGCCCGTCCATTCAACAGAGACTGAATATTGCTCTTGCAGATTACAGACCTAATGACCTATCTAGTTTTTAACCAAAGCAAAGCTCACATCTTCTTTGACCGATGTTATCAGCTCAGAGATCTTATCTGTGAACAACGTGACGTTAGCAAAATGCAGTGGTGACTCGAACTTGAGTACGGTCACTCCTTCAGGAACATGCTGTGGAGGTATTGTGTCCAGCTGTGCAGCTGTGAAACGAGGCCTAAAACCATGGTTGATTGGTTTGGTGGTGAAAGTGCTGGCGCCGCTGTTAGTGGTGCTTCTTTGCTTTTTGCAGGATCGAATCCTTATCAGAACAACTACTATATGTTTGCTATCCATTCAAAGCCACTCAACTTAAAAACTTAGAGAATTTTAGTGGACGAAAGAAAATATTCATGAAATCTTATTGGCCTTCCGGTTTTTTTCTGGCATCTTAGCCTTCTCGAGAAATCGTAAAGGGTGTTAACAGACATGCCAAGAAGACGGCGCTAATACTGAAGTGGTGTCCTCTCCTCCCTTGGTCAACTCCAAGCGCGAACCCTTACCAAAATCGCACCTACCAGCTCCTTTCCTACTCCCCCCCCCCTTCCAAATAGTTCGAAAGAACGGCTGACTCTGGCTGGACTGTATGGGGGGGGAGAGAAAAGTTCACCGGCGGCGCGGACGCGAGCGCGTGCAGCTGACGTCACAGCTGCGGCAACAGCACGAGAGGGCAAACTAAAAGCGTCGCTGCCACTTCCCTTGGATAGTAGAAGGGTAGCTGGCACCTCACCAACCAATGCAATCAGCAGTGCCGTGAACGAAGTGATTGTATAGGTGCTATTTTCGCCTTCGAAAATTAGGAATTGTTTGCGAATGAGGAGGAAACCAACGGTTAACGAGTGCGCATCCAATCCGAAGTTGATTTCAATAAGTCCATTCTTCGTTATTACCTCTGCTTACTGCATAGTGAATCAGAGTCAACAGTGTCCTATACGCAATGTTATAATTGGCACCACTTTTGCTCAATCCCTCGCCGCGCTGTGACGTCAAAGTGACGTCACCCGCACGCGCTCGCGTCCGCGCCGCCGGTGAGCTATTCCATGGAGCCGGACTGCAGAAGGATGGGGAGATATTCACCCAGGAGGATCGTGCAGTGGTTGTAAGTAAATCTGCCCAACCCACGCGTGCAATGTGCTTTATACACGGACTTTCAGCACGGACCGGCTCTTGTCAGTGACCTGCTCAGTACTGTCAGGCATTGCTCACAATTTTCACAAATGTTGACTGTTTCAAATTATAAGTTGGCGAACGTATGGTGAGATTTTACACCGCAGTTTCAATGCAGAGCAGGACGAAGTTTTCCTTACAGCCACGAGCACCAGATTAGGTTCAGAGCCATTTGATCCAAGAGTGAGAATGAGGAATTCTCAAGGGCAGTAGGCACGACACTGTTGCGACTCAAAAGTGCGAGGTAACGGTGCTAAGGCCTTGCCTTGTGTGCTGCCGTGCTGCCATCCTTATCAACCACGGCATACGTGTCTGCGCCCTCTCGCGTACGACGTACTATCTCGCGTTTTCCCTCTTTCGCAGCGGTGTGTCCTCTGTCATACCACGGCCGCTAATAAGGATCGAGATTCAGCGTTGTCCGCCTGTTGCTTGTTCTTCTGCCCAGCCAATGTTCTCACTGGAACCCTTGCCTATTTTCAAGAAAATAACGCATCATAAGTCAATTTCTACTCGTACCGCTTGATTTATTTGGCGTTTTTTCCTGTTCCATAGTGGTCCATTTACATTATTGGATTCGAAAAAGACTTTTTTATTACTGATAATGAAAACGCTGAAGGATTAATGACTATTGATTGCGAGAAAAATTGCCGCCGCACGGCGGCGGTCGTCAATGGGTCAACTCCCTTAGCCCACGGCCCTCCCCCCAATTATTTTTTTTTGTGTGATGTAATCATGGCTATTCAACTGTGACCATGTACCTTACTATCTCCTCATTGTGTGGTATTACGGTAACAGTAGTAAATAAAATAAATTTAGAAAATAAAATAACTCTATTTCTGGCCTGCCAGGACAACTCACCACTGTTCTCTAAGCACAATTGTGAACAAAGCGAAGCTAGAAATTATCAGCCTTTAGCTGACAGTCAGCTGAAATTTCGTCATCACACAAGCCGCACCAAATCGCCTGTAATTCTGTAAGGATCACTGTGGCAGTATAACGAACGTGGATATTGATTGGTTCTTTGACGCCCATTTTTTCCCGTGAAGCTATCACTCACAAAATCGTATTTGCTGATCCGCCAATAGCGGGGTAACTCTTTCACTTGTAGAAAGAGACTTTTCAGGCTGACAATAACAATACAAGCCAAAATACACTGAAAAGTACAGAGTTTTCAATTTCAGATTAATATGTAAAATTAAAAAATCAATAACAGTTTACACAAAATAAGAAGTATATACGAAAGCCTACCATAGGCAGTGGTTCCAAGAATGGTCCTAAGCTGAGTATTACAGTAAGAAGTAGTGTGGATGAGAACAATGTATAAAGCTGAAATGCTCTATTAGGATCTCTTTGTAATCAATTGACTACTCAACACAGTCAGAATTAGTGAATCAATATCAATCAATAAATGCACCTGAGTGTTCGCTCCGGACATTTCACAAACTGAAGACCTGCTCAGCGATGCTCCCACAGGAAACTGGGAAGAATGGACGACGCTACAGACATTATGCCAACCGCATAAAACTCCTTCAAGGAAAGGCCCATGATATTTACACAAAACTTTCCAATATTTCTCTGTTTACAGAGAAGGCAATGGCTACGGTAATTGCCCGGGTAATTGTGACATTCTTACATTTAGAAGAGAGTGGTCTACCACAAGGGTGATTTTAGGTTCAAGTCGTCCCTTATAGTGTAGCAACGAAGTGTTTTTCTTATACCCAGTGAAACTTAATAAATGTTTTAAAATAAAAATTAACACCGGAAAAGTGGTGAGTAATAAGTGTCGTGCGAGCGGCTGCGTGCAGCACTGCCATACCTTACGAGTAGGATCCACGTCGAAAGTGGTTATTACGAATGAGACATATACCACAAATAGGTTTTGATCCCGTTCCATAGGGCGGAAGTGGTGTAGTGGCAAGTGGCACGCTTACCACGCGAGCGGTCCGGGGATCAAATCCTGGGTCGTGAGTCGCCCGGGCCAACCAAGCCTTCCATCCCTCCGGGGTCGGTTAATTGGTACCAGACTTGTCTGGGAGGATAAAAACACTGACTTGCTCCCCCGCAAGTCATTGTATAGGCCACATCGCATTCAAACGCCACTACGAATGTACAAATGGAAGTAGAAATGCGTGGCGCATCCCAAAAAAGGGACTGATCAACGGCATGCTTTATCCTTCATCCTTATCACTTAATATCTGCGAAATATCCCGAACGTTAGTTATGGAGCGGACTTCAGATGTAGAGGACACCTCGCATGTCCAAAAATGAGTTCAGTATGTGATCATATTCTTCAGTTCCGAACAGAGAGTTAATTAAAGTATGTACAGAGATGAGTGGATCATGAAGAAGCACTTGGGCCCAAATTGAGGACCAAACCTGCGTAGCATCCGTTCTATACTTGTGCTTTTTTGCAAACAGCTTTCCCATTGACATCACAAACATATAACAAATTACAGCAATAGCGACGGCATCTGAGATCAAATAAGGCACCAGAGTGGTGTTCGGTAGCGATGGCAATTGGAAATCTAGAAAAAGGTTTTAGAGCATCAGGTGTTCGCATAAAAAATCAAACCTATACTAGAAAAGGGGTGCAATATTCGTAAAATAGAATTGTAAAGTAAGATTTGAAGAGCATGTATTATGCTAGGTAAGTAAACCGGTTTAAATGGGAGTCCAACTGCAGCCAGCTTGGAATAAGCAGTGCGAATAGTGTCAGTGGTGTCACAAACGAAAGTAAATGAATTAGTGCAAAGCAGCGAATTACGAAAGTGTCATGCGGGAGTCAAGAACGGACACCAGTGGGGCTAAGTCGTACCAGAAGAAAGAAGCAGAGAAGTTTGTGAAGTGAACGCAAAACGAGACCTTCCTTGTATGGCTGTTACGATATTTTCGCCCAGGGACGGGCGCGACTAAGTCGGTAGGCGTTGGGTGAGTTTACCGTAACGCATCTGCTGGCATCATGCTAACCAAGCTCCAGTCGAGTGGCTTCACTTCGGTGTCGTTTTGTCGCTGCCCGAGTAGACACAGCTCTTTCCAAATGGTCTTTAATTAGCTCAGTGGGGCGGAACCGCCTTTGGGGCGAACGCTTTTCATAGCAACCACCAGCACTGTCCGCCAGTAAAAGACGCTACATTCTGCTTGCTAATCAGCCAGGTTTCTGCTTCTTGTGGCGCATATACTTCCCTAATGCGCCCCTCTCTATTGGGTCGCTCAATTCGAGAGGGACCTCTTTTCTTCATTTCCTTCGAAAGGTGCCATGTTTTCTACTCATCAGGAACGCAGAGACATTTGAGTGCTCACCCTGAGTGAACTAAACAGCGTTCTATTCAGTATTTTCGTATTATCCGGGACTCTAGCGGTTACCAGTCGACACTATACAGATTCACTCTCGGGTTGGTCTAGGTAGGGACAGATCTTCAGGATGAGACTTTTGGTCACTCATTTAACAAGCTGTCTTGTGCACAAGGTAGATGCACAGATATAAATCAAGTAGCAGTAGTTTTTAACGTTCATGTATCTCCACTTTAACCCTATCGGCCCAGAGAATGTACATAATGAATGAAACCTAGCGACTCCATTGTTGAGTGAGTGAGTCGGAACTCCGCTGCAAGCAAGGTACCAATTTCACCCCAGGCAAAGTTAGAAAATATTGTAAAAGAACTGGAGATGGAATATTCATTTTAAAAAGAATTTCAATGACATACCCTCTTGGTATGGTGTTAACAATAGAATACCGTAGTTCTCTTTGAGATAACGTCATCGAAAGTATAACACCGATTATGACCTGGAAAAAACCTCTCTTACTTCGGAACGCACCGGATATTTGGAGCGCCTTCACCACCCATTCAAAACTCAAAAATCTATTTACAAAACCCTTTGAAACTTCTTGAGACGGCAGTGAGGGCTTTCCGGTAGACTTCAGAAGGCAGCCTCTTCAAAATGAGTCTGCCTGATTGGAAAATTATTGAAAGTGGGAAGCTAACTTCGCTTCCAAAACTGTGAGGCGTTAATGCCACACGCGCACGTTCGCGGCGGTGCTTCTATTGCGCGCCACTCGAGTGCCTCCTGCTACCGCCGCCCTTTGCCGAGCATGAGAGATGGGATCGTAAAAATTATGACTCACCAGTATAAGCTCGAGTGGTGGCGGCACAGGTGAAATTCGTTTCACCCGAGGACTAATGTAAGTTCTACCGAGATCCAGAAATAGTATTCCAACCACAGAAATGAGTAAAGCAATAAGATTTGTAGACGGGATTGAATAGATGAGATCTCGAACCATCTAAAGTAAATGGTTCAACGGCAACTTAAAACGTGGCGTATACCTAAATCACAAAGCAGTGCGAATATTCACGGTGCTCCAGAAGGAGCCATGCTTCCTCCTCTATTATTGTTTTTCCAAAAAGCAGCTTCACACAAAATGAGAACTCACCAGTAATAGCATTCCTGTACCTTCATGTCTGGGCAGCTTCACACCTATCACTTTATTAAGCTGTGAGACCATTACGTGAGCCGCCGAACCCGTTGTGAAACCGGAGACCAAAGGGTCCGAGAGGTAAGTGGTGAGGAATCCGAGGCGTAAAACTCCAAAGAGTAGCTAAAATTTGACTATTAAAGGCAAACTGAATTGTGTACAGCTGATCAAGGTGTAAGTTGAATTGGTATACACTTGAAAACAAGCGTAGAGGACGAAGGAAACCGCCGTTGAAAGAAAAAAGCAGGCTCGAAAGTTCTTTTGTGAAGAAGACAGTGCTGCAAGGACGAGACACTGGGAGCTGAGGAAAAACAATAGACGAAAGAGCGTAGCACCAACAGAGACCCAAACACCCCGCTGCGCATAGCGTTATGTTGCGAAAAAATGCTTCAAATGACTTTAGTCAAATGGCAAGACCTTAGCTGCCCTATTCCGTGCAGGACCAGCACACTTTCTATCTTTGTAAACAACGTTGCTTGATTCATGGAAGAGCTCGGTTCATCTATGTAGTCTAATCGTTAACTGTAGACATCAAATCGATGTAGGCGTTGGAATGCCCATGAGAGCCATTTCTACCAGTCGTAGGATAGCCATGCAATGAAATCTAACTCAAGGAGATGTAAAGATTTCCCTTTCGTTTGCTGTATCCATTTCGTGCTAAGTAGTGGGCCAAAAATGAATTAATTCGATTCCAGATATGAATGAGAATGCGTGGCGCGTTTCAAATGTACACTGGTGTGCAAAACTTAAGGACGAGACAGATGAAGTATCATAACCTTTTGATAGCTTTGTGGACCGTTTAACGGTTCCTGTTAACTGCTTTCTTTAGTGCCCTGTGACAGCTCTTTGTATGTGGGTTAGGTTCCATAGAGTCATCTTACGCGGGTACCCCCCAGGAGGCCCGTCGCGCGGCAAGAAGGCGAGTCAGCGGACGAGTCGCGCGCGTACTGTAGGGATTTCGCGTCAAGTTAAATAGAATGTCCCATTGCACGTCCTACATCGCATCACGCGCTGCGACTCGTCCGCCGACTCTGCCTTCTTGCCGCGCGACGGGCCTCCTGGGATGGTACCTATCTTACCGCCAGTAAACACGTCGTTGGAACAAGGCTACGTTCGTCCTTAATTTTGCACTTAGTGTATGTTACTTATCGAGCATTTGGATTTGAACTTTTACCGTCGACTTAGTAGCGTTTCAGCGAAACAACCCTTACTGTCGCACAACGCCGACTACAAGGTGAGTGACTGGTCAGGCCAGGTGTCACATCTCCGACAGCGGTGAGGTCGAGTTGGGCCAAGATTCTTCCGGTCGGGCACTCGAGTCGCTAGTCGGCACGCTGCCAACCATCAGCGATCCACAGCGAAGACACGCTGAAGCTGACAACATTAGCGCGCACAATTTTGCGAAGCTATAGCACAATATTCTGACCTATTGACACATGCCGAGCAGTTCCGAAAAACATGTAGACTGTGGAGGCGAAAAACGACGAGTACATCCCGTAGACGGGTGGAACGCCGGCCAAACTAGCGTAGGCCATCCTGTCGAAGGGTGATTAGACTATCACCAATACAGAATTAACTGTACAAGTCGTTCCCGGCTTTTCTACGAACTCGCATCCGATCCCGATTTCTTTCTATTCTATTTTACACCTTGTAAGGGGACTGAGAGCTGAGTTAGCAACTTCGCAGAATACCTTGCCTTACCTTGGGGTACATGCATGATACCGACGGTCAACCCAGCGATGAGATCGCCATGAAAATACTCCTTCCATTTGTAACTGAAATTGAATGTATTTCAGGCCGTTTCTCCCCACGCTTTCCCCTCTCTCTCCCATTCTTTGCTGGATGATTTATTTTGAAGTGTACCAAAAATATGGAAATATGGGTACCAGATGGCGAAAAAATCGAACAAAGTGTGGGCAGTATGTAAGAAGACGCACCCCTACCACTAGAGTTAGAGTACTGTAAAGATCGTGCCTGCTAGCATCAAAAGTATCTCCAAACTAAACATATTGAGAGAAAAGCTCAAATAGTCCAACACCTGTGGCGATTCGCATACTGTCATGCAACGTTTAATGAACTCCTTTAAACCAGCAAGCTGGGTGAGAGGGAGGTTTCGACCAGAATCCACTTAGTGAACTGGCCCCCTTTTTCCGCTTTATTTCATAGGACGCAGCTCATCCCCATTCATAAGCGAAGAGACGCACTGATCAGGCGTCAGAAGTGTTCGAGCTTCCTCTGGTTTTCGTGAATGTGTACGTTATCACTTTCAAGATCCGTGACGGGATTTTGCATACGTCCCTTGAGTTCTCCGGAATTTGCCGTAATGCGATTTATGTAGGTAAGTCGGCAGCCGGCGTTTCAAAGCAGTCTCCCTCAGTGTTCACAAGTAGCGCTGGGTGTGAACAAAAACTTTCGCCCGCAGCGGGACTAGAGCCCGCACCCCTCGTTACTTTTTTGTTTGTTAACTGTTGTTGTTCGGAAAGCGAGAGGTGCGGGTTCTAGTCCCGCCTGGGGCGAAAGTTTTGTTCACAACCCAGCATTCTTGTGAAACATTCGCAAGGCGAACTGCGGCCAAAAACAGCAGTTAACAACAAAAAAAGTAAAAGTGTTTTTAACGTCAAAATTCGTACGCCTTCCCGAAAATTTTCTATTTTTTTTCCCATTGCGACCCATCAAAATGCGTAAACATTTTTAATAAGTAAGTGCAACGAGTGACGGAAACCAGACTAGCGCAATTTCGTGGGTCACTAATCACTCCATCGAATGAGCCCTACCACTGTAGATTCCCAAGGGAAGAAAGGTTTGCCGAACTGCATTTCTTCGAATGTTTAGGCCTTTGGGAAATCCCACTTCAATGGAAAGCCTTTCCAATACAGCGTTTCGATCATTTCTCTAGCCATTCCTCTATTATTGTGTCTTCAGTGCATTGAAATGGACAGGGAGCAAAATAAATGCAGCCTTGTCGGCCTTATGCGCGATCGCCGTGCCGCTTCTAAGAGTACCGTCAAGTTTGTTATGGGATGCTCCCTAGTGGTGGATCGGCACCATCGCTCTCTACTCACCAAATGGCACAAGTGGCTACTCATAAAGTTCGCCGAACATGTTTACGAGCTTCAAAAGATAAGAGTTGTTATCAATGTAACACGTTACGTGCATGATACGGAACAGTAGCAGGGTTCCGCTTCAACATTGAACGCCTACTGATCAGGAACACTCAAAGATGGCTGAAAACACTTCCCTTATCGCAATTCATGGTTATTCTCGGAGCACTTCTTCGTTCTGTGGGAGAGCCTACAAATTAGGTCGATTAACCGTTGGGGTTAGAAATTACGTCTGCCCATCCTCGGCTTCACTCCTCTTGCGTTCACTGTAACCATAAGCAGCTTTCTGCTCCCTACCAATGACTGAGGGCCGGAAAAACATCAGGGGAGCCTTAGTGACTCAGACGCGATGTGGCTCAACCAAGTTGATCCATTGGAGCTCTCTCGCTCGCGACAGGGGCGAATGGAGGCGTTACTGGAGCTGCTCGAAGAAGATGATGAACAAGGGAATCACAGGAGACACAGGAAATCAAACTGATCCTCGAACTCCATGAACGCTATGCTTGAGGGACTTGCCATTGTACCTACTTTTCATTTTCACCTAATGAGGACAGGAGTTTGAAGGAGTTTCCAAGACGAACCCCGAGCAGATAAATTGGGGTTTGAAGAAGTCCTGGAGCTGAGATGTAGTTCCGGGGAAAAGCTTCTAGACGTAGTGATACACGTGTAACGGCCAAAACAGGGATGGTAGTCTCCTCTGACCGAGGTCTGATTCATCCTACTGCCCTTTTCTGAACCCCGCTCACCGCATGTGGCTTTTGGTTTCATTTATTTCACCCCCAGTCCTCCCTCCCACCTCCTCCCAAGAGGAGGACCTGTATGAAACATTTGTGTTGGATCTGGAACCACTACTAGACTCGTTGTTGTGCCAAACACTACAGAAACTCGACAAGTGTTTCTTGTAGCAGATAGCAGCCGGTTTTCTTGTTATTAGCAAGTCGAAATTACATGTCATCTTTGCCCTCCTTTCCCCTCTCCCTTTAGCCCTCATCCCTCCCAATTTTCTAGAGATGAAATCCCGACATCGAGTACAAACATCAGGCGGTCTTGTATGGCATGACTCAGACGTTGTGTGGCCGGTTTTGCCAAAACACAACGCCCGATAAGGCTCCATATGTTTGTGGACCGACACCACGGCAAACCTAACAGTACTCAATCAAATCAAAGATCGCCTGGTAAGAATAGAATCGCAGCAAACATAAATGATAATGTTCCCCATTTCACTGGCATACTCACGAGAGAAAATGTGCTCAGAACTATGAAGAATGCGTGCCTTCCTCCCCCCCCCCCCCTTCTCCCGCCGCCATTGCTTCACATAAACGTTACGATCAGGGTTAAGTGAGGGCCACTTCGTTGTGATCTAAAATTGTTTGGGACCAGGGATAATATAAGAGTGTAATAATATATAATATTATATAATTAGGGAATAATTAGGGATAATAAATAATATAATAGAATCCCTGATCCAAAAAAATTCATAAAGTGAAGTGAATAA